TTGTTAGACCCGTAGCTCTGAGAGACTTTAGTTGATGATTAACTATAAATAGCTGTCCATGCAGTAAGAGGAAATATATTCGCTTGTATTGGCGAGTTGGGTTCAATATCTGGGGAGGTTGAGTTGTATCGTGTGTTGACATTAGGCTGTGCCAATGCAGCTCTAGATGCCTGCAGCAGTGGCTGGCGAAGTCGTTGTGCTGATGAGGCAAACAGTTATGTACAGATGTACCATTGATAAATTGATTGGAGGTTGGAGGTTACAGCTGCCGAGTACTAACTGCACATGCGGAATATGTATGGCCTCTGAGAACTTGTCACACAACATGGCATAGCGTTAATGTTGCTTCCGTCATTGCATGGGATGTTCACCTGTACCACAGGGAGAATTCATTACGATCTCACCTGTACTGCAGGGAGAATTCATTACAGTGGATTACTTGTCGCAATCGGTTAACATACTTGCTGTATATTCTTTCCCGTGGTTTAAGTTTCGTTTCTGGTGTACTTCCTGCATGGTTTATTTCCCGCACTAATTGTAAATATGTTGTGTACTGGTTATACAAGACGGGTGTGGTGTTCCATCAGTGTCAGGCATGTCAGTGTAGCCAGAAGTAGATACCAGGCATTGAATACCTCGTTTTACAGCCAATGAATTGTTATCATGGTGGAAGAGATTTCTATTGATCTTTGTTTAATAGAGTTGGTCTGTGGTGTAATTAAACCCCTTTGGATTGTTGTCATGGGAATAGCTGACATACACACTGGTAATGAGAGTGGGCATGTATTATTTACCAGGCCAGTGTATACGGGTTGTAATGTATGAGTGAGTGTGGGGCTATATCAATGTATAGTAAGAGGAATATAGATATTTTTACCAGGTAATAACATAATTTATCATCCAAAATTGCTTCCACAATGAAATTGCATCACAATGCTTTGCTGACCATTGTGATGTCATTGGTTACCATGACGTCACAATGAAATGACATCACTGATCTCTCTGCCACTGAAGCTGGTTAGCTGTACATTAAAGACACTGCTTGTTGCTGTTTAATAGCTAAAAATGTTGAATGATGTTGGATGATAAATAGAATCTCCACCTCTGTCTTTTGATATCAAATATATCAACACTCGTCAATGTAAAAGTTAAAACTTCAAGGCTTGCCAAGGAGTTTTAAACTTTTATCGACTTGTGTTGATATATTTGATATCACAATACTCTTGGGTGAGATTTTTTATTTGCATTTAAATGCCTTCATTATGTGATAGCAGTGATGATTCACTGGCTTTTTCCACTATGTATATCGATACGAGATATCAGCTTGATTAGATAGGGAATATTTCAGTTGAAGTTGTAAATTGCCTATTTGCCTTTTTGTGATTTTTGGTGATTATCTGCCACATTATCATTTTATCATGTGGACTGAAAACCATCTACACTTGACTGGGATGGTGGAGAATGGGATGTTTTGTCAAGGGTTGAGCAGGAAACTGTATAACAGATCAATACAGCTATGAGGGAGGAGAAAAAGTTGCCCGTCCATTGACAGTGAGCGTGTATCAGTGATGTCTGTGATCGATGTGGTGAAACTAAGCATGTTTATGTGGGAGCCAGCTCCTGTTCTCAGTACAGCCGTGGCTCCTCAGGATCTCGTCAATCATGGGATCCAGGTCCCTAACTCGGACTGATAACATACCATACATCTGGTTATACACACCAGCACAATTAAAGACTGAACGTTAACATGTGTTGAAATGAAATAACTGATTTTATATCTCACTAGGAAACCCAAATTAGATGACTGAAAGTCTGGCTAATTCTAATTGACCTATGGTTGACTTGTATTTCCACGTTTCTGTCTCGATCGTACAGGCCATAGGTATAGTCGATATCTGTCGCTAGGGTTACACGCTCAAATTGTAAAGCCTAGTGATTTATCTACATTTATATTTACCAGCTGTCAACGTTTCTTAAAGCTAGAGTGCTGACAACTAGTCACAACAAAGTTCTGGCGACAACACCTTGATTGGAGACTGTCAATAAATGTTTCAGAGAAACAGTTCTGTCGATATGCATATAAGTTTATGGTATTGTGGGCCTATAAAGACCAAAAGTAGACATGTTAGTAGGCAATTGGAAATCAGTGAACGGAACCCGCCGAGATGAGACTGTTCGGGGCTGTAGGGATCAATATGGTGGCTGTATAGACCTCCCTTCAGCCATGATCACATGGAGGGACCTCGCATAGAAATTACTCAGTCCTTTGTAAGTCTACACAAGTATTGATACAGGAGCATCTTCCTTCACACTTACAGCACAATGTCATCATAGCAGCTTGTTGTATCATCACGGCAGCAACATAGTATAATAGCATCGATCAGTACAGAGTTGTCAACAAAGCAATGCTAAATTGCCTGGCAGTTGTGCAATTTTTTGTTAAAAGCGACAGTCACATTTCAGCTATGTGACGACAGTCTGTAAATAATAAGTTTGGGACAGATAATCCAGTGGTTGATGTCATGAGCATTGTTCCACGCAATTAGGATACAATGACAAAAATTAACTCACTGAGTCTGACCACCCGATCCCGTTAGTCGCCTCTTACGACAAAGGGTTGCTGAAGACCCAATCTAACCCGGATCTTCATGGGTGGGCAGTATTCTGAATTCTCGTGGCAGTAGAATAGAATTTTTTACTGAAAGACCACAGCATATCTTGATAATTTGTCATGGTAGTAGTAAAAAGGTCCTCAAATTCAGCACTCAATTCATGTCTCTATTTGCTGAATTGTCACGACAGACTTCCTTATTTCAATTTGTTTCACATGAGTCAAGATGTTTATTGTATCATTTTTATGTTATAAGCTGTTTTGAAACAATTACCGCGGAAAATAGCTTTTTGTATGAAAGTAATGGACTATCCAGACTGTGTACCTTTGCAGTGTTTGAGAGCAAGATTGCTTCAGACTGGGATGCCTCTCTGGATTGACGACCTTATTGCATGACACGACTCCTTAAAGTGTACAAATGAAACACAGAGAAATTTTCTCTTGCCTTGAGCGTTGTCATTTAGTGTGGCAGTGGTTCTGTCTAAATTGAAACAAATTGAATATTCTCACCCACTCAGTGTGCTCATGATCGAAAACGATCTTGCATTCTTAAATGTTTCAATTTGCCCTGCTTGGAAAAAGGTTTGAGAAATGACACCGATTTTATGAGATGTTCCTTTGGTGAGGGATGGTTTAGGGACACTTGTGCACGAGAAGCATAAATGTCAAATAACATCTTGAAGAAAATGGCTAATGTTGTCGGAGGATGTAGTACACCATCTGAAGGCGAGTTGACAGGAGCCTACCGCCTACACGCAGAAGGATAATAGGCATATCAAACAAGCCCGGCTTCTACTTTTTGCTCGGTTAGATTCTAGTACAGTTGAGACAATTAGCAAGTCAATGACGACAAACCGTAGGCATGGTCCATTCTGGCCAGAGTGAGAGTCGGGGAAATTGTAGAGATCACTATTTAACACATGGGTAGTAAAACAGCAAATGCTGCTGGGAAATGACAACTTGATAGTGGTCTGGTCATATTGGCGGCAACGGTGGCGGCTGCTGCAACTCCTGGTGGAACATCTCCATCCCTATATGCCCCTGGGTAAACCATCTCGGTATGGATCTTGGGTTAGGGCTTTTAATGGCTTGTGTGTGCCTCGGAGAAGCATCCAATCATATGCCATCATGGAGTACAGCTTAAGTGTTGAAATGTGTGATTGTATCTAGGTATTGGCATTGCCTCTTTTCTGCTGGTGTTGGCTGGTGTCCATGTTGTCGATGGAGCTGCTGTGGACAACGATGAGGGTATTTCAGCTCCGCCTGCCCCTCCCCCGTCACCTTCTTCAATAGCTCCTGATAAAGTTGTGTCATTCCTGGTCTTGGATAATCATCACAACAACTCCTCTCTTTCCTAAGTCAATGAGATAATGTAAAGTTAATCATCATGCCATGATGAGAATACTATTGAAGTAGTTTGACTGTTGAAAAAGCGATAATGTCTTCCTGTTGTCTGAAAAATGCTTTTGGCCTGTGCTCTGCTGTAGTCTGTGAATATGCAAATGTGTGGTATAGTATTCTCTCTAAGAATATAGTACTGGGTTATATAGTATGCTGTCTGAGAATATACCACTGGGTTATAGTATGCTCTCTGAGAATGTACCACTGGGTTATAGTATGCTGTTTGAGAATGTACCACTGGGTTATAGTATGCTGTCTGAGAATGTACCACTGGGTTATAGTATGCTGTTTGAGAATGTACCACTGGGTTATAGTATGCTGTTTGAGAATATACCACTGGGTTATAGTATGCTGTTTCATTCTTTCGCATTATAACATGCTGTATTCACCCACCCCTTATAATGGGAAGTATTCTGCCCCATGTGCAATGACACCCCCTATGTGTCTTGAAATGCAGTATTCCGCCCCACCATGTGTTGTAACATGCAGTAGTCCCCTGCATCATATGGTATAACATGCAGTTTCCCCTGCCGCTGTCCTATGGGAAGAACACCACCTGATATATTTACCATTTACCTCTCACAGACAACTCTGGAATTGCCATCTTGTTTATTTTGTTAGCAAGCCGTGATGTCATCAGTTGTAGTGTTGGTGTATATCAGTTACTGGGCCATGTACCATATGTTGAGTATGCCAATTTATACCATGCAGATATAAACAACACATTGTGTTATCTCTGCAAGGGGCAGACTTCTCGTTATAGTCAAAACTGTGAAAAAGCATCAAGTCATTTGTTTGATGCTCATCTTGGCATTAAACGTAATCAGTTAGATTTTTTCAGGACCTTAACATTTACCCCTGTGAAAATATCAGGAACATCATTTTGAAACAAAGTAACCATTTATTAAAGAATATGGTACTGGATGAAGATATATACACAATAGAGGAGTTGTGATAGATTGTTTATTTTGATATTTTATCTTTGCAGGTTTTGGGTTCGTCACGTTTGAACAAGAGGATGTAGTAGAAAAAATTTGTGAAATACATTTCCATGAAATCAACCAGAAAATGGTGAGTCATCTTTTAACTAAAGCGATTGGTAGAGCAAGGGAGATAACTCCTGTTTGTCTAGACTTCATTTTGCAATAATGAACAGACTGTTTTTGCTGACTCATTTTTTGCAAATTGTTATGCTGAATTGTTCTTGTTTTGAATCAATATGGTCAATAAAATTAATAACTAGTTAATTTCATATAATTCCAAAGAACTAATGTATACTTCTATTACTTGCCAATGTTCAAAACTTAAGGGGCCTGAGTCATGGAGGTTTGTGTCATTGTATTAAGAGTCTGCGGACCCCTTAATTTTTTAACTTTTAACAATTGGGTTGTAACAGTGACCCTTTACTTCCATGCGAAATCTCGAACAATTTATGTCGATGGAATCTTTTTGGTACAGTTCTATTTTTTTTTTAAAATGGCTGTTTGTGACATAATTTCATTGTATTATTTGTTGATTTATTTATTTTCAGGTTGAATGTAAAAAGGCCCAACCCAAAGAGGTTATGTTGCCAACACAACTGGCCCGGGGGCGTGGCCTGGCTCGGGGAGCTTACGGTAGGTACCGCTGTTGTTGTCTGCACCTCTGGACATCATCCCCTTGTACCAGTGACCTTTGGCCTCTGTTTCCATGGCAACCAGTTTTGCATGCTACTTAGATGAAACATAGCCATAGAAGTTTTTTCCTAGACTAAAGTTAGCAACGTGATTTTGTGTAGTCTTCATCACCGGGAAATTGTTGTTTAGAAGAGCCATATGTTAATTCTAGCATGGTAGTCATGGTAACACTGGTGGCGGTGGTTTACACAAGGGAGACTACTCTCTTGTACTCCTACGTACGTATTAGACATGGCGTTTTTTTCTCTGTAAGTAGTTTTATTCCTACTACTACTGGCACGCTCACTAAGAGCCAAGTAAAGGTGCAAGGGGCACAATGTCCAACCTCTTCTAAACACATGCCAGCCACTTCGCTTATACACACCATATTTCACAGCAGACATTGTTCTGAGTTTCTGACTTGTTTTCTTTCCACGAACCGTGTAGCAAGAATATAATAGCCGTTTGTACGTACGTAAGTACATCAGCAGTGATTGGCCACTATCCAGCCCTACCAGCCATTCAACCTCCTCCAATGGAGTACGTTGACCAGTGAATTTGTCTGTCATATTGTGCACTACTATCAAGTCGTAGGCCATGAACCTGTTGTGCTCATCTCGGCCACACATTCCTGTCCTGACATCCAGTGTGCTTATCTGCTCTACTGCCATTAAGACTGTTTCCCTTTTTTCTAATGATTCTGTAGTGACTGAAGAAGGAGAGGTCGTATGGGAAATTCCCAATGATGTTGTCGGTCTGCCGGAGCTGTGTAAGTTGCACTTTTGGCCGAGCAAGCAAGCCAGCAAGCAAGCGAGAGCGAGCAAGCGTCCACCAACCCCTACCCTGCTTAGCTCCCAAGCTGCGCCCTGTTCTGCTTGCTCTCACTCTGCTTACCTGTCCATTTATGTCAACTTGTGCATGTCACTTTCCACTGTCTAACACTCGTTCTAACCGTCTAGTGTCTAACCATTTCTGTATGTATGCTTATGCTTGTCCTCATGCTTGTGCTCATGCTTAATGCTTAATGCTTTTTGCTTATGCCTGCTTCTAACTATATAACTGTTCTGTCAAGTTCATGTTTAGATTAAGGATCCATCATTTCTACTCTTGACTTTAATTTTTAAAACCCTAAATTTCTGTCTACCGTCTTAAGTATAACTTTAATTTCCTTCATTAGAATAACATTTTATAGACATTTCCTTTTATTAAATGATATTTTGATAAAAGAAATTTCTCTTGAAGAACATTTATGACAGGTTATTGTATTGATACCTCAAACCTGTTGGTCTTTACTGAGAGCATGCCGCTACTTAAATACTTACCTTAACCCCAATCAAAGCATGCCTCACTTAACTTACTTTTAAAAATCCCAAAGGGAGATAACTGCATGTTCTATGTCTTGCTATGCATGATTGTTTCGGTGTCCACGGCTTCTGCTTTTCACATGTGTGAATCGTTGCCATGGAAACGCCACACCTATCACTTCTGAAACATGAGAAGCCCTGATGGGAGTCATGAAAAAGTTCATTACAAACAACCAACAGCCTATATGATTTCAGTTGGTTAAGTTGGGTTAGTGTGTTGCTTGATTTTTTTTTTTTTTTTAATTTAATATTTATATTTCCTTGACCATTTGTAGATGATGTGTGTATAGAATTGTGAGTGTAGCGAGACGAGGTAGGGCCGAGGGTGACCTGCATGCCTCCACTCGGACTCCAAGCTGCATGTATCTCTTCAGTTGTTTCCGACTTTGTCCAATGACCGCTTAACGTTGCCATGCCGATTGCCTTGCGGGACAATGTATCTGTCATGATCTGTGCCTGACTCTCTACTGCCTTCATACCTCGGAACCTTGCCTGTACATACTGACTCTGTTCTTAACTCTCCATCCCTTTGTCCCAGAAACTAGTGACACATTTAATTGTGACACTGTAGTCTGTAAAATTGTGTTGTTATTAATATACAAGTAATGAATAATTTATCTGCTGCATACAGTTATTAATTTGATTTATAACAGACTTGCATCGTGTGTAGTTTTTTTAACTGCTGCATTAGTATCATTGTAATGAGAATATGTGCAGCCACTGTAGATTTTAGCAGATTGTTAGCATCGATTTTGGAACTTGCATGATTTGCCACAAGACCAGCTGTGGTCAGGCATGTGAAATACAACCCTGTTTTGTAATGCCATCAAGACAAGCATGATGACGCAGATAGTGACTGGCCTAACCTCCTCCTAGAATAGTCTTCCAACTTTCTCAAGTCTTGAAGAACAATGCATTTAGTGCATGTGTCTGTTGCTACTCTGTAGTGTTCGACATTGTTAACTCCCCTGGTTAACACATGGTACAGGTTTGTTGAGTAAATAATACCAGAATGAAACGTATTAATTAACAATCATACATGTCAGTTAACCATTAACATTTTAAAAATAAAGTATTCAAACATTGAAACATAAATATAGATTAGGAATAATAATAAATGTCTGTTCTTAATGTTTGTGTGTGGTGTGTAGTGTGTGTGTGTTGCCCCCGTGAAGTGACACGTCTCCCTTTTCCGCCTACAGGTTACCTTCCGACCGGTTTCCCTGGGTTTGCGGCTGCAGCTGCGTACGGCCGTGGGTTCCCTGCCTTCAGCCCAGCGGGGTACTACTACCCCGGGATGACTACAGGTATGGAGCTGTTACAACTGGCGTCGTGGTACCCAGAATCTCATTTAGGATTCTAGATATGGCCTAGTTAAGGCAGCGGGTTGTCGGCCTGTGGCTGATCGCCGTGCTGCTCGGCACAGAGCAATATGTGGAAGGTGCGGCTGTTCTTTATGCAAGACGATTTTTAGACATATCAACTCGGGATGAGAGGAAGACGGAACCAGATGGACCCAACGATGTCGTCCATGCGTTGAGTCAATGGTCGTCCTTTGAACGTGGATCTCGTTCCCGATGAACGAACGAACAGTCAGCACAGACCAATCCAGACGACCTCGGGAGACCTTCAACGCTCCATCAGACTAACCCTGTTTAATTACACTACCCCTTTTGCCAAAATTTGCGCTGCTTTAAGATTGTTCTTACCCAATGCCAAATAAGGTTGCATTCTCTCTGTTGTCCATGGCTTGCTGTGATCAGACTAATTAAAATACTCAAGCAGTAATCAAGGGATACGATGGAGAGGCCTTTGTGATAAAAACGTGGCATTTTATCAACGATATCCCTCAGGGTTCTCCAACTGTGATACTAGACTATATTCGTGTTGATCAAAACTGTTTCAATATTGAAACAAAAGCTAATTTATGCAATTTATATCTTTATATTGCAAATTTTGAATATACTATTTATTAATTTTTACATTTACTCTCGTCTGCGCAAATCCTGCCATTGTAGAGCAGGAAGTGGATATGCATTGTGGGTGTGGTTGATGGCGTGTTGAAGGTCTGGTAGTGTTTCCTGCACTCTCTGATAAAAGTCAGACATTGTGCCAAACGCCTATTCTTTACTGTCTTGATATAAATGAACTTTTTGTATATTTTTATTATTTTGGCATTTTACGGTAGCCATTGAAGGCTAAGACTGTTTATAATTGGTTGTGTTTGATCTGTAGACATTTTGGCTTTGATTTTGACTTCAAAATACTGAATCTCGTTAAATCTGAGTCTTCATGTGTCGCAATAACAAAACCAGAAAACCTCGCCGAAACTAGATGATTTGGTTCTTGATCGGGTGAATTTTGTTAGATCTATTTATTATAGATGAAAAGTTTACTGGCCTAATTTTTTTTTCTGAATCAGATTGATGAGTGGTTACGTGCGTCGATTGATGTCACATGACCCTTGTTAGTCTGATGTTGTTCAGTAGCTACCGATGCCAGGATTGCATGCACTATATGACTCTGTCAATGTACATAGGATTGTATGTGTTCTGTGAAGACGGTGTGCCTACAACATTGTATCCTTCACACATACCCGTCTCCAACGTTCCGGCTGTGCCGGACGTCCATCCCACCAATCGACTGTCCTGATACACCCAGTCATTGGCAGCCTCACTTTCATCTAGATTCTCGGAGAGTAGGCAGTTTACCCAGATAGGTCCTAGAACGTAGACATATTGGCCAATCGGATGTTAGCACTTAAGTTAGATAAAGTTCATGACTATTCCAAATTATCATCCATTTGTACGATGACTAGATTTAAAACTAGACTTTTTGAAGTAGGAAAAGTACAGAAATCTCTCAACTCCTGGTGGCTGGATAAATGGCATTCCTCTGATTGTCCTACTCCAGGAGCCAGCATCGGAGCTTGATGCCCCTTCATCCTCTGGGTGTGGCACACACGATGAGCACTCAACAAAAATTCTCAAAACATTAAATACCTTTTCATTGATAAGTGATATGGACTTCAGAAATTCATGTCCTCTGTGGTTTTAATACAATTTGCTATTTTTGATACACATATTTTAACCACAACTAGTTTTCCTCCAACTAGTCTCTGATTGCATCTACTATGCTACATACAGGCTCATCCTCATTGTGAATGTTAAGACGAAGTCATCCAATGGACATTTGTGACAAAGAATATTTTCAGGGTACTATATTTTTCCTGTGGTTTTCACAAACAATTAAATTTATCGAGTCATCGGTACTTACGATCATTTATGTATTCGTGCCACTGCTTAATAAACCGAGTATGTTTACCAATATGAAGCAATAATTACCTCCCTTGAACACATTTCAAGGCAGGCCATGCAGAATCGAACAGTGATAGTCGTGGTGATATGTGTTACCATTTTATTGTTATGTATCGTAGTCTTATATTCAAGTCTAGATATCACTCACTCTGTGCCAAATCGGCAGTTTTAATGTATGCAATAATATTCCTCATAATTGTGTAGATATTGTTACTAAGTATCCTTTCATCCCCACAAAGTTGAATAGATCTGACCCAAAGTCCAATCAGTCCTGGTTTACCAATACTATTGACTTATCCAAGGGCAAGTCTATTTGATCTGGAGGGGGTTTAAGGATGTAGTGGCCATCAGTTGGATTGTAGTAAACATGTAGTGTTGTGTATTGCACAGCTTCCAATAGGTCGAGTCGCTACCACTATAACCTAGGCTTCAGTGCAGACTAGCTCCGTAGTCGGAACCCATAACACCATCACGATCGTGAACAGCGGTCTTACGAAAATGGCAAATCTTTGCATGTTTATTTGTCGAGATGCTGGCCTGAAATTACCTTGTGACATTGTTTGGCAGCTCTCTGGTTAGGTGTGTGGCTTCGACGGGTGTAGCTAGATGTAGATATTTAGCAGGTTATCCTCACTCAGTATTTATTATTAACTATTGTGTTCTGTTTTTCCCTTACCTCCACCTGCCGGAACAACGCGATCAGGGTTACATTTATGACGTATCTGATTCCGGCAGCCTAATTTACCCTATTTTTGAATGTAAGTTATTTTAACATGGCAAAAGTTTTAAACTGAGATCTTTAAGTCTTAAGAAATTAATCTTTTATTGTAAATATATGTGGAGTATCCACAACTGTTGTTGTACTTGTTGTGTTTGAATATGGAGAATTATGCTGTACACCCAGATGCACCATGGGATTGGTAGACAGGCTCTCGCTCTTCTTGTCTGTTTGTTCTGTAGCAGTTATCTCCCTTGTTTGATTACCATAATATCAAAACATGCTTTTTTGATGGCAGCACAATTTCAGCATAATATTGTACTTGCAGCTGGGACGACCAAGATTTTGGCCATCTTCTTCCTGAAAGTCTGTCAGTTTTTTCTGCAGAATAGTTCCATAATATCCTTGTACTATATATACTGTTTTAAGTGAAAAGATCTGAAAGTGCCAACTATATCTCTGGCCATGACTTTTTCTTGAAGATGTCTGCCAAATGTAATCTACCAATCGCATGGTGCTCTGTACTGGATTATACGACTTTCTGTGCCAAGATCATGTAAGTGCTAATGTCTAGCCCATCTCAGAAGTCTAGACATAAAAACATTGTGGGTGTTCGTGTGACTGAACATACGTACGCAAGTGAGCGAGCGAGGGAGGTTGCCATCCGGCCTTGACCTTGTCGTCTGGTCATTTGATGAGGTTACTACCAGAGTAGAGCAGTCCCTATAGAGCGTGCTACATTCTTCACATCACCATTCATCAGCTGTGATGGATTGAATGAATTTTTGAATAAAGAGTTTCATTGGCACTATATCTTGACCTTGTGATTTCTGTATCTGACCTTGGTCAACAATGGATTACCTCCCTTCATGACCTGGGTACCTCCTGTTGTATAATATGCCGACTTAAACCAGTCTGTAGCCCATGCCCTTCTTCTTAGAGTGACAAGTAGTGTTTGCATGAGTTGTTTCTATTGAGGCTGTTTGTTTGTTTGCAAGGCGATTTTTGAGGTGATTAACAGCCAATTATTAGTTACACGTATTTATTTGTCACATGCAGGAATGAACACTACAGCCGCTGCTCTGAGTCTTGGTCCAACGGGCGTGGCACGTAGCGCGCCTACATCCCGTAGTTCTGTGACTGCTTGTGTCTCCCCTGACTCATATCTTGGTGCAATAACCGGTAGATCACCGGGTAAGCCGCCTCCGCAGTCTTGCGTTCTCAGTCTCACTCTAGTTGGTTGCATTTTTGCCTTTAGTGGTTTGTAAGAGGTGTTGTGATTGGCCGGTCTTTTGTGCCAGACCTGACTAACATGCCCTCATGGGAAGATCTGTTTGCATTGCACGTTATGTTTTAAGCTTTACTGTTTTTAAACCAGTTGATTTGCTTTTGTCTTGGCCAGTCTGATATTGCACAAAGATACTTTGTTGCACATTACAGTAGGACTTTAATCACCCCATTTAAATTCCCCGATTATTTGTGTCAAGGAATGTTTTTTTCACATCTGTAAAGGTTTTGGCACCTTTCGTAACAGTTCCTTTGAATAACTTGAACCCTTAAAAATGACCTTGAACTTGAACCCTAAAACTGACCTTGAACTTCAACCATAAAGCATAACTTTGAACTTGACCAATCCAAATTGTCTTGGCCATGAAGAAGCATGCCTGGTTCTGGGATGTGTTTCATGAAAGTAGGAGGTTTTTTCCTGTCACTGAACTGCCCCTAGAAGATTATTATTCTATTTTGCCTTGGTGTGATCATATGGTGGTGATATTAATGCGTTCCCTATGTTTGAATACTGAACACTTGTGTGATGTGTCATATATGTGTGTATCACCCGCCTAGCTAGCCAATAGTCTTACAGCTTCTCATTAACCGGGTGCCATGGTATATGGTGGTGTTATTACATACCGTTGTATAGTAGTTTTAACTTTCTTGCACACTTCTTGCATACCATTCATATTGTTTTGAAAATGATAGCTTTCAAATTTGACACAATTTGGCTTCAAATTTTGTCAAGTTACTGTTTTAGAGGTGTTTGTATGAGCTTTTATCTCATGTTATTTATGAGCTCAGGATCACATTGTACATTGTTATTATTGTGTTGATTTTGTAAATACTGATTTGTAATTTAACAAGATTTGTTCAATGTTTAACACCATCCCATGTGCTTTTGCCATTAAAAAACCAATGGCTCTTGTTACTGGGTAATTGTGAAATAAATCCAATTTTGGTGGTCTGCCAGTCGTGGTTTCCCTGGAGTTGCGTCCCCTGCATGTCTGGTATTGTCACGCACACCTCACTGCCTGCTTGTAGTAGCATAGAGAAATTGACGACTGTCTGCATGATGTCGTCACGCTAAAAAATCCGGCTCATTTTGAAGCCAATATTATGCTACCATGTATTCTACTAGGTATCATGATCCTTGTTAAAATCTCAAAATTTCTCACTAGAATAATGTGCCTACTCTCATCAAGAAGCTATGACGATGTTGCCACTTTTAGTTTGACCTGCATGGTCAAACTTTCATGTATGCAAGGGTGGATGCGATTGGTTGTAGCCACCTTATGCATGCAAGGCCTCATCTGATTGGCTGTAGATATGTAGATGTAGAATTAGTGTGCTGTGATTTTGTCTAGACTGCTGGACCAGCCCAGGGAAGCCAATATGTCAAAATTCAAAAAGAAATATCCAAAACTTGAATTTGCTAAAGTCTTTCTTCGATATCAAGAGGGACTTTTCTTCCTTTGAAACTGATTGAATGTAAAAACAATCTAAAAGGTCTTTCTTCGACAACGAGAAAGATTTTTTATTTGAAATAATTGAAGCCATTTTTGGACCAATCAAATTGAAGTATTTTCTTGTTGTCCTGCTAGGCTTCCCTGGTTATGGCTACTTGCCTGTCCCCGCCACCCCTGGTGAGCGAACCACCTCCCCGGCCATTTATGCTGACTTTGGTGCTGGCCCCCCCAGTCAGCTGACTGCGGCCGGCATCCAACGGAGTGAGCCTTCGCCCATTCCTATATCGAGCTCGCCCATCCACCGTGACCCTGGGTCCCTGCATCGTAATTCTGGAATAGGTGGGTACCTCCAGCCATATTGTCCATGACAGCTAGTCTCTCATCTTAACATGCTTGTCTCATTGTATTAATCACATCCTGAATGAAGATGATTTGAAAAGAAAGATTTGATTATGAATAAGCTAATATGAAACTTGTGGAGGTTTGCAAAAACCGATTTTCTTGTTGCAGATGTTTGATTCTTGTTTTGATAGTTGTGATAATCATCATCATGATCATTTGCATATGTATGTTTACAAGTACTTTCTGTTGTCAACACTGTCATGCTATGGGAAATTGTGAATTTAAAGCACAGTGTTAACAGCTGTTGGTACGACCCACTTGTCTAGATAGCGCACTTGGGAACTAAGACCGAAATAATCATTTTTTTTAAATTTTGAATGTTTAAAAAAAAAGTAATTTATTGGTTTTTGAACTATTATTTTTTTACAGTTAGCTTATTGTGATAAGATATGTTTGTTTTGACAAACTATTTGACAATTATTTGAAATTTAAAAAAATAATAATTAAAATCCCTTGTTACACGTAACAAGATGCCTGTTGCCATGTTGAGTGTATTGCTCCCAGCTTGTGTGCATGCATGCTATGTTTGCTATACGGTCTGTCTGCTCCTTGTCCTCTAGTAGCCAGAAACACACTAGATGTAGAACCCACTTGGAAGAAGGAAGTAGGCATATAGTCTCCATCGCTGTATTTCTGTGGGTAGTTCCGCAGTTTATTATACAAGTAGGAGGTACCACACTGATCTCAACTCATCATCTGGAGAAGGTGTACCTGTCTGTCTTCAATATTCATGATTGTCTTTTGTTCGGACAGTTTTATGATATTTTGGCAGATAATGACTAAAACTTGAATCGCAAGAGTATTGAAGATGGAGCATGTACGTCATTCTGACTTTACCTAGCGGACAGCACATACACAACCAAAGATAGTCCCTAAATTAATCAGTTTCCAGACGTGCTGATTTATTTTTATTAGAAAGGTTGGTAAGTTTTGTCAACCTTACAGGATTCGGCTGTAAAACAAGTCCCTAGTACCTCAAACTTGTCATAATTTGTTAAGTCCAAAATTATTTTCTGGAGAAGGGGGGGAAATAATAATGTTTATTCCAGAAAGTATTTTCAAATTTGTGTTACAATTTATGCTTTTGAAACTTTTCGGAAACCCAGCTTTTGCTGTTTTTCTGTCTTAATTGAGAAAACTGCAGATTAGTGATACTTTTGAAAATGAATACGTGCAATAGGCAGATGTATATTGAGATATGCGTATCCACAGTTGTGTCTGTGCTGGTCCGTGAGTAGAAATGAACATGCAGACAAGCCTTTTCCACAGCCGGAGAACCCAAAGTCTCCCTGGCGTGTCTTGGAGGTCATCCTGCAGAGATCATAACACACACATTCTCAGAATTTTACAGGAGGTGCACACATATGTTTGTCTCAATCCTTCAACAAAATCCTTGGGTGTAGGCATTGAGAGACAATGAAATCCTTGGGTGTAGGCATTGAGAGACAATGAAATCCTTGGGTGTAGGCATTGAGAGACAATGAAATCCTTGGGTGTAGGCATTGAGAGACAATGAAATCCTTTGGTGTAGGCATTGAGAGACAATGAAATCCTTTGGTGTAGGCATAGAGAGACAATGAAATCCTTGGGTGTAGGCATTGAGAGACAATGAAATCCTTTGGTGTAGGCATTGAAAGACAATGAAATCCTTGGGTGTAGGCATTGAGAGACAATGAAATCCTTGGGTGTAGGCATTGAGAGACAATGAAATCCTTGGTGTAGGCATTGAGAGACAATGAAATCCTTTGGTGTAGGCATAGAGAGACAAGGAAATCCTTTGGTGTAGGCATTGAGAGACAATGAAATCCTTGGGTGTAGGCATTGAGAGACAATGAAATCTTTGGGTGTAGGCATTGAGAGACAATGAAATCCGAGGATTTAAGTGTAGAGGCACAACAAACATGTAGTGGACTTCTTTTGTAGATTTAACACTATATAGTCACCAGGCTCACTCACTCACTCACTCAAACACTTGGCATCAGAGAAGCTGACATGCAGAAATGGGACTATTCATTCAGAAACCTTTTTTGGTTATTCCACAGTTTTTCCGTAAACATTCTGTCCAGTTTATCTATACATTTTATGAACGCATCATCGCAAACGAAGTAGGAAAGGACTCCATGTCTGGCAGGTTGGTAATGTCAAATTCCAAGCTGTCCGACCTTGACATTGCTGTGCCAGACCTTCCTTCTCCAGGAGAGGGTGATCAACCGAGATCGGACACGACCAGCGTTCACTGCCGACCTGCGATTTGACGAACTTCCCGTTCCAGGTGTCACATGACCAACATGGCATAGAAAATCTTGGGTGGGATGCCTAGGCCATGTTTGCTATTCTGTTATTTGTTTCAGCAGCAGCGGCAACAGCTGCTATGATCAACAACTTTGGCGCCCAGGCGTTCCCGACGGCCACTTCGCCAAGCAGTCGCTCGTTTCCGCCGGCTAACAGCCCTGGACCTATAGATCTGTACACCTCCGGACAGGAGGCCCTGAGCTATGTACAGGCCACCAGCCCCCAACCCTCGGCTTTTGGGCACAACATTGCCGTCAGTCGGGTAAGTCGTCACATAGGTGTCCAGCTTCAATCGCTTATTAACAACAGCACATATGGGGATGAGAATTCTGACATGGCTGATTTCCATTTTTTGTGATAAAATCTTATTTTTTTTAAATTTTCTAAACGTTTGTGAATCTTCTGATTCTCATTCCTCAGGTCAAGTGAGAGCTGTGGCACTCCTTTACAAATCTTGTATAACATTGATTAATACATTCCCTGCACCAATGTTTCATTTTTGCCATTGTCAATCTGCTTTCACCAATCTTAGCTGGTGTGATTTGAATGGTGGTGGTCTGGAGTGTTCAGAAACATGCTGTGCGGATATAAAGAATTGTTGATAAGATGTGGATGTGTGTTTCGAGAACACTTCAGTTTGGAGTTGGTGAGATGTGGTATTCATACACCCGATACATCAGTAGCAATTCACCTGTGCCCATGTTCAAAAGCACAAGGAGCAGTGTAGTATTGATGCCAATGGGCGAGTCAGAACAAATGGTCATCCAGATATGTCATATACCTTTTAGATTTTTCACATAACTAAAATTAAGATGTATCAACTATCATCACTTTCGACTATGAAATTTAGAATTGAACTGTTTTTAATAGCCAAAGACATATCCCAATTTTAGTCTTTTGACCTTGAAATTGATTCATATAAAAATAGCATTAATTTATTTATTAATACCAACCTTAAAATTAGTGGTTTCGCAAAATATCTTCAGCAAATTATTTCCATTCCTGAAAAGTTGCTACAGGGGAGATGAGGTACAGGGGTGGGGAACACCCCCACGTTTCTGAAGCCAAAATATATAACTAACTCATTTGTGATGCCTTTACAACCAAATTACACACTTTCTGACCACGAATTTCCAAGTCACAAAATGAACCCCTATTTTTCCTAAAAGATATGTCGTTATTCTTGAATTCAATATTAAAAAATTGAAATACCATAGTACTGAAAGGTTAGATCTGTACTCTGACTGTGCATTGTGATTGCTGCTGGTGTTGTGGGTGTGTTGTGTCCGTGTGTCCGTGGTTGCTGTTTATTGTATGTATCATATCTGTTGTTGTCCCCAGGGACCACTGATCGCGGCAAGCTTCCAAAATGGCTACCATTGAGGTGTCACCCCTACCAGGTACTATATAAGCCAGGATGATCTCATCCTGTAGCCTTGCATCCTGTCATCCTATTAGATCGAGTAGTCAGAAACATCTTGCATGCATTTGTTGGAATTTACGTTTGCTGTACATTAGGGTGCCGTGTAGCCTAGTGGTTAAAGCGTTCGCTTGTCACACCAAAGACCCGGGTTCGATTCCCCACCTGGGTACAATGTGTGAAGCCAATTTCTTGTGTCCCCCGCTGTGATATTGCTGGAATATTGCTAAAAGCGGCGTAAAAAACGTACTCTTACTCACTCACGGCTGTACTTTATATAAAGTGAGGGTGTACGGGTTCGGGAGGCTGTCTTAGGCGCTGCAATTCGTGGTTCAGAGTTGCATCCCTCAGGCGTGTCAGAAACCTGACCATAGGTTCAAATTTCAGTTCACCTTATTAAGGTTTGTCAGCACCATGCCTTACTTAAGTGATGAACATCTAACTTCAGGCTTTCCTCCCACATCAAGCTGATTCGCTGTAATATGGTTGAACTACTGTTTAAAGCAGCGTTTAACCAAACACCCTCACCCATTCGCGTTAACAAAATTATGACTTATATTTTGCTCCATAGTAGAATAAGAAGAATACTAATTCTTCACAAATATTTGCACATCTGCTTTTATTATTATTCTTGATTTTTATTTTTTCCCCCTGCATGTCATTGTATATATACACACACATCCTATAGACAGGGCAGAATTTGATAAAATGACAGGCTTTAATATTTGACATACTCTGGGCTTATGAAATTATTCAAATTAAGATTGACAAGTAATGACGGTTTGAACTATCTATTTTATTGACCTATTTTTCTTGTTTTGAACGTTGAGTAATATGCTATATGCTTATAAGGCATTTAACATGGGGGTCTTGGTAATGGACTATGCGTTCACGAGTTATTTTTTCTAGGTCTCAGTGATGCACTTAATATACTGAGTCAATTTAGGGTGAATATTATTGCCAGGCATAGATCAGTATTGGAATGAGTTGTCTGTCCCTGAAGTAGGATGTGTGTTAGAGTAGTCTCCCTTGCTTGATCCAGGTCACTAGTGTTTCAGTCCACAAGTTATTCTGTAGATAGAAAACGTCCTGTGGCAGTTGAGATATGATCTTGCAAAATATTTCTTTCTCACACCCAAAAACAATATACTGGCAAAGGATATTTTTGTATTTAGAGAGTAATTCATTTCAAGTCAATGTTTTTTACGAAACCTATAGTTGGTAGGAATTGGAAGAATATTTTGATTCATCGATTTCTTGTATGGTTAAATTAAATGTTAACACGTGAACCAACTCGTATCATGTGAATTAATTTAAGGAGATGTTTCAACACCTTCATTGTAGTTCCCTTATCATGATGAAAATATCTTCCTTTCAGCCAAGCTTCGGAGGATCCGTGCTGACTGGTCAGAATTTTTGAGGTGAAAGACCCCAGTCTTCACCGGCTGCAACAACATGTGGATGATGTCGCTACGACAACGACACTGTTGCCGAGGCCTGATGCAACTCTCGTCACTATGACGACTTGACTCTGAGGTCATCCTATACTATTCATGTCATACGTATTGTTCATTGTCATAAGTGGTATTGTAAATATTTTTGCGTAAGGTTAATGATGTTGCCTCTGGTTTTCATTGTGAAATACCCATTTTGGGGTCTTCTTATTGGTTTATTTTCAAATTTTGACTTGTTTTTAACTCGTCTGACGTCCATGTTATAAATGTTGTGTAGATGTAGTTAGCTGTAGACATTGTAGACATATTACCGAGCTCTGTCATTCATACGCTGACATGGCTCGTGATCTGAGCTCGTTCATACATACATATGCTGATGTAGATTATCAGTTAACATTTGTTTAATTTGTTTTTATACCAATTTTTATTGTGTTCATGACATTAAACCAAGATCTTATATTTTCATGGATTTTTAAAAAGAAATGTTAATGTATTTATTTTGAGCATTAGCAAGCTTGTTTCCCCCGAGATGGCATGGTCGGTCGATTTAGATTCGGCTGTTGTCAGACTCAGCTGCGAGTACTTCCCTATGAAGTTAATTGTTAACTAGGTATAAACAACCTCTGCAAATAAGGCCTACAGGCTTGCACAGTTAGAACGTAGACTAGGAAGGAAGTATTTTCACCTCAAACATTATTTAGATGTTTTTAATTAGTAAGCTACGTTTTTGACAAATTTACACTGATAGCAATACATTTGTATAAAGTTGTTATGATGAAACTGTTACTTGATGTTGGTGGGCGTCGCCCTTGTTTATGCAGTGTATATTATAATTTGGCATGTTTAATATTAGAATTTTACTCGAATTGGCAGGTCCATACTTATACTATTTTAGCGGTTGTTTTAATGGTTGTTTACAAATGTGGACATATTATGTGATTCTCAACCTTGATGGCGTCGTCTCAGTTCAATTTTACACTTCATAGATTTATCTTCCTCCATCGCTATTTTGCTTTATAAATGTTTACAATGTAGCTATTTTTTGCCTTCGTTTAACAACCTATTTTTTTAGAAATCCCACCATATAAATTCATTACAAGAAGTTTTATTTTTATGACGTGACGTTTCACAACTGCAAATGAAGTCGAAATATTTATGAAATGTTTTTCAACCACTTTGTCCAAAACCTGTGTTTTCATCTTCCATCGCTTGAAGTTCTGAACAATCGAAGATCAATTATTTCTCTACTTTTTTCCTGTTACCATTTTTAACAATGTTTATTTTTCATTTTATTGTCAGAGTTTATTTTTATGGAAGGACATTTTACTTAACTACCGAAAGTCTCCCTATGTTGTTTTTGCCCTACTGGAGGAAGCCGTGTCTCGAAACTGCATTCTATTGCCGACTGCCATTCCTGACAAACTCTCCCTGTCCACTGCCCTCAAACCGACACCAGCAATTCCATGCCTAGGGTTCACAGCCCTCAGTCTGGGACATGATAGTCCTCACCAAAGGACTTGAAAGTTCCAGTGGACACGGTGTCATTTCTTGAGAGCCAAAGCTGTACAATGTTACATAATCGGTTTGGTCAGTACATGATCCGATGCGTGTGTTGTACAACCAGAGGAAGGTCGTTCAGTGAGGACAGGTGTGGTGTCCTGCCAACAGGTGTTGCATGTTACCCGATGACAGGTGTTGCATACCACCTGGAAAGGAGCTGTTGCCACCAATGACAATTGGTGTTGCCACCTGGGGATATGTTTAAGGGAATGGTAGGCAGGTAAAGGTGTACAGGGTATTTATCCCCCTCCCCTCACTGCGACTACAGCGGTCACGTCATTGTTCCAGTCAACTGCGACTACCATGGACGTCGTGCACCGCTGGTCCCACTGCTGCAGTCATCTGTATGGCAGGGACTACTGTGTATGTGTGTAATTATTGCTTCTACTTATATGACCACTGTTTACTTGTTGGTTACCTCTGTACAGACCTGGATGTTGTCAACGTCAACAGTAGCGTAGGTTTTGATGTGGTTTTCACTGTTTTTGCACTATTGTGTGTGTAAATAACCTCAAGGTAGTTTGTAGCTCTATGATCTCTCCCACGATTCGAAAAGTCTCTATAAATGTACAAAACTAAGCAACGAACAAGTTGAAATAGTAGACATTGACGTAAGAGGTCACTACATAGTTAGCTCCCCTCTCTAGATAAGCAATGTTAGCACCTACAAGATGGCTGCCGTCCGACTGCCATCTTCCAAATGGCATCATATTCATTGCGATGTGGTTGTACGAGGATGTATGTGTGGAGCGTCCTTCCTACTCCATTGTTAAGGAGAGTTGAAGATGGAGGCGTTTGTTACAAGTATTTTATCTGGTTAGTCTATGTTTAATTTGTAAATACTGATTTTTACTGTTTTTACCGAAACTTCGGCAGCACCCCTGATTGTCATCTCTTGGTTGTTATTTTTCGTATATTTAAATGCCATGGACAGAGCGGTCCAGTCTTTTCAATTTGGACCTGTGCCGAGGTTGCCATGACGACGGCCACATTCCTCAGGATCTGTAGTTCAATAGTTAGTCGTTAGAGAGGCTCGTTAGCTTCGGTTGAAGATCAGCGCAGTCAGGTCATGCCGTCACTGAAGGTCAAGGTTATGGTGAAGGTCATTTGATGACCTCATCGTTTATAGGCATGTACATTTGTAGACATCTTACTCCCTGGCATTGTATTTTAGCAAATATATTTAAATTATTGGCACAAAGTTTTAATTAGCTTCGCCATGACATTGGTCATACAGCCATGTATTCATCTGATACATCGAAATTTCTATACCTCTTTGAGATTTTAAATTTAGATCATTATTAAGCTTTTTTGGGTGGAATATCCGGGTGTACATATGTTGATCATTGACACAAGAAAAGCTAGCCATTTTAGCAGAGTAGACAGTTTCATGTTACCAAAAATCTGTCTCTTTGTGTGTGTACTAGCTAGAAAGACAAGTAGCCACTCTCAGTACTATCATGGCCACGGGTTAAACGTAGACCGAAATTAATCTGTACATTTTGATCCGAGTAGAGTAGACGATAGTAGAGGTGATATCCTTATTGTTCATGAACTAGAACATGCAATAGTTTCTGTTGGATCATTCTAAATTATTCCTTATTGACTATTGAGAGATATTTTATTGAAAGGATGTCATTATTTTGTATTTAATTCTACAGACCCCATTACATGACATATCAGTTTTCCAAAGTTGAATTAGGTACCTTGTTAGCTATAACAAATTGTACTTACAGATCTGAACATAGCTATACATGTGTGGCAGTTCCCTAGAAACTGCCATAAGTCATCCGTCCCAAGTTGATACGTAGCTAGTTACTAGGTAGGAATTTGACATTTTAACTTTTGAAACCAAAGTCTGCGAGTGATGCATTTCAGTGGCAAGTACATCCAAAGATGCACCTTCGTATTGATTAACATGTGATGTCATTGAGAGGATTAATAAACACCATTTTCGATTACTGTGAAAAGACATGGAGCATATTTAATTGAGCGGACATGTCACTTTTGAAATTTCACTGAAAGACTGATTAGTTCACCGAAGTGTACATATTCACTGCACCGATGGAAAAGTTGCCCTCAGGTAGAAGTGCCAATGACAGTCTTGTACGGAATGCATCACAAGGATATGTAGGATATACGCCAGCTCTGGCATGAGGGGTATGGAATCTCAGTTGTCTCCCCTGATCAAACTTCGTGTGATCTGACATCGCTGATCTGTAGGCTAGCTCTAGGGAGAGGTCAAGGTCACACGACCGCGACCTGGATCGCGTGTATACATAGGATGTCTCGATGACTTCTTACAGTGCTTCATGTGTACAGAACTAAAGCGTGAGTCTGTATAGAGGTTTTTCCTACTGTTATTGTTAATTTCATGTTTTAGACAGAGTACATGTCTTTGCAGCTAATACAACCCTGTTAACTCCTGTTCAGGGTATCTTGTTTTGTCTGGGGGAAAACATTGGAGGAAAGAACATATTTATGACTTTATTTCCACCTTGTTGCTACTGCTCCTGTTCAGACTGGAGCAAATATTCAGTGTATCCCAAACCACCAACGATTAAACCACACGATCTCCTGTTGAGGGCAACAACTCAGTTGTGTTATCTACCTCTCAACTCATTAACATTATTTGTAAATAAGACATGTTCTTGATACACCAGCTAACTTGAGCATGTAAAAACCACAGCTTGAATATGACAAGGGAAATGTCCCAGTCCACTAGTTAGAAACTACACGATATAGTATAGTATGTACTGAGTTGTTTCCCTTGTGATGTCAGTTATCTCCCTTTATAACCGTTAACTATGAGGAAGGCTTGATTGATTTGGGGTTGTTGCCTTGAACAGGATATGTTTTGTTGTGTAAGCACAATACCATTGATTAGCTTACAAGTGACTAGTTGAACTTATTACCAGTGCAGTCATGCTGGGGTGATTGTAGCAATTTTTTGTGTGAAATATACAAGTATATCAAATGATTGGATGTAAATATTTTGAATGTACTACGCAATCAACTCAGTGCTATTGAAGGGACCAGAGACAGCTGCTCACGAAACGGGTCAAACAAGTTTTAGCATTTTAGATTTTAAATTGTTATCTTGCACAATGTATGAAGTCTTCACAATCATGCAATAAAATTTGTTATAATCTTGATAATAGCAATAATTGGTGGGTATCAGTGGACGTAACAGTTGTGATACCACAGCGCCACCTGGCACTGCATCCGTCAGTAGGTCAAGGTCACCCGTAGACATGTGCTCTGTTTATGTGATTTGACCGACCTTGACCTTTATGTGCTGACATGTCATGTCATGCACAAGGCCTGGTCGGAAACTTGTTGTAGATATTGTCGGTGAACACTCAGTCCCCACACACACATCCATGTCAACATCATTGGAGGGCATAATATCTCACTGTGAAGTTTTTGAGGGACTTGATGCATGTAGTGTACTAGAAAATGAAAACAAACCAAAAGAGCATGATGGAAAAAATGATTAAACTGAAAACATCAATCCTAACAATTTGAGCTTGAAAATATATTACTCAACATTTCTAAGGACCAAAATAGTCATCTTCAGTCAAAGGTGTGGTCGTTAGGGAATGTTGAGTGGCATAATTTAAATTAAAGATTTTACGTGCAACAGTGCTCTGTAAGCCCATCCAGAATCTTTGGAAATTGATTGATAAAACTTTGAATGTAGTATTTTGGTGTTGGGTGTGAGTGTGGAACACTGATGATTGTGAATCGACGTAGACATTCAGTTGTTAGGCTTAACTCACCTCTAGATTCTCCAGCCTGTGTGAGACATGGTGCTGTGGATGTGGTATGTATGCCAGGACTAAGGTGTCGACTACAGAGACCCAGCAGTGTCGATAATGTTGCAGAAGCCAAGCGTCGGTCCTGACCCAACACACATCCCCAGTCACCTGTCATTGTTTAATATAATCTAGCAACTAGGGTAAACCATTATCTTTGAACAATATTGACAAGTGCCAAAGACCAAGCTGACTTAATATTTTTTCGTGTATGTTTAGCAATAGGTATAACACTTTCATGTAGCTAGCATCTGGCTCTACACATCAGCTGATGTTGTGCCCCCTCCCTCTCCCTCTACCTCCCCCCTCCCCATGGTGATATAGGCCACTGACATATGTACACTTCTTGTCCATCGTAACCCATGTATGTATGTTTGACTGCCCAGCCGGCACATTACAGGCCTGTGCCTCCTTGTTGTCGTCTGTGGCTCGTGTTTTGTGCACAATTTTTTTCTGAAATAAAAATGGTTGAATCTTTATCACTGCTTTTGTTCTGATTTAGAGGATTTTTGTGTGGCTGAGAAAATTTTCTTACATGTTGTGAGTACATACTGCTCAACTTTGTAAGGTTACTGAAAAATCAATAAGATTTGACTGTGTGTTGCTATATTACAGCAGCTCTTTCACATGCACACACTCACTCACACACACACATACATACATACATTTATATATAAACTGAGGGGTAAAATCATTATTTTTATTAAAATTTAAATTGAAATAAATTGCTTAATTTGATTCTCTATTTAACCATCACACATTCCTGTATCAATTTGTAAAATTACCTCCGACAAAAAAGCAATTTTATTGATTCTCAAAGATAAGATGTCTAAGATTCCCATCTGCAGTTGTGTATTATGTGATTCTTTTTATGATGTCTAAAAGTCTCAGGAGCCTGTAGTCATTATTACAGCTTTATCACAGCAGCCTGTAGTCATTATTACAGCTATATCACAGCAGCCTGTAGTCTCCATTATTACAGCTATATCACAGCTACCTATACTCATTATTACAGCTATATCACAGCTACCTGTACTCATTATTACAGTTATATCACAGCAACCTGGAGTCGCCATTATTACAGCTATACCACAGCAACCTGGAGTTATTATTACAGCTATATCACAGCAACCTGTCGTCATAATTACAGCTTTATCTCAGTAGCCTGTTGTCGCCATTATTACAGCTACATCACAGCAACCTGGAGTTATTATTACAGCTATATCACAGCAACCTGTCGTCATTATTACAGCTTTCTCAGCAGCCTGTAGTCATTGTTACAGCTTTATCATAGTAACTTGTAGTCATTATTCAATTTATGGCAGCTTTATCACAGCAATCTGTAGTCATAATTGCAGCTTTATCACAGCAACCTGTAGTCATTATTACAGTTATACCACAGCAGCCTGGAGTCATTATTACAGTTGTATCACAGCAACCTGTAGCCGCCATTATTACAGTGAATCACAGCAACCTGGAGTCATTATTGCAGTTATACCACAGCAACCTGTAGTCATTATTACAGTTATATCACAGCAGCCTGTAGTCGCCATTATTACAGCTTTTATCACAGCAACCTGTAGCCGTCATTATTACAGTTGTATAACAACAACCTGTAGTCATTACTACAGCTAAACTGACGTCCAAAAGAAACTTTACCAGAGTTTGAAATCACTCTTGCTCAAAAACAACAAATCATACATGCATGAAGTAAAGTTTATTGAGAAGATCAATATATCAACATAATCAACCCTGAAAATGACAATCATACCGCGACCGAGAATCACGTCAGAGCCCCCCCAAAGTTGGGTGTGCTACAAAACTCGAGCTTTCAGAATCATGGACAATAGGCAGAATACATAAACAATCGCTCACGTTCAATAACAAGCGTGTGTGACCGCCAAATGCCTCAATACACGCAAAAACTCTTCGACGCACAGAAAAAGTCAGTCGTCTGATGAGGTCACGTGAGATTTGACGCCATTCTTCTTGGAGGGCCAAGATCAGTTCTTGCCGGTTGGCTGGAGAGTGTGGTCGTCGAACACGACGATCCATCAAGTCCCAGAGGTGTTCTATGGGGGACATGTCGGGTGAGCGTGCAGGCCACGGCAGGAAGTTGACGTTGTTGGCTGCGAGGAAGTTAGTTACAATTCTGGCTGTATGGGCTCTAGCGTTGTCATGCTGATAAATGACACCACGTGGCTGCTGTTGGAGAAATGGTAGGACAACTGGACAAAGAATGTGATCCATGTAACGCTGAGCTGTCAAGTTTCCGTCAACGATGACCAGCGGTGTCCTCTCCTACCCACAGATCCCTCCCCACACCATGACACTCCCTCCACCATATGGTACGACCTCCTGCACGCAACACGCCGCCGTTCGTTCACCCCTTCGGCGGTAAACACGTTGTCTTCCATCAGCCCTAAACATACAGAATCGACTTTCGTCAGTGAAGACAACCCTCTGCCAGTCACGTCCTTGCCAATCGCAGACGACGATGTTGCGCTGTCAATAGCTGTCCTCTGTATGGTCTAAAAGCCCTGATTCCATGAGCCCCGAGTCTCCTGCCCACTGTCTGTCAACTAACCCTTTGACCTAAGGCATTTGTCGCCGATGACGTCACTGTCAGGAAGCGATTTCGGAGGTGCAAGGTACGCAAGTACCGGTCATCATGGGGCGTGGTCACCTTGGGTCTGCCTGTTCGTGGCCTGTCAGCGGTCCGCCCTGTCTGTCTGTAACGTTGCATCAAGTTGGTAACGGCAACACGGGAGCAACCGAAGGTTCGTGCAATATGGGCGTGGGTGGCTCCCATCTGTACCATACCCAAGGCTCGTTCACGTTGAGGCATATCTTTTGTGTGTTTTTTTTAATCACTGTGGATGTCTGACTTGCCACTGCAATCGTTTTATACCCTTACCCGCACGTGCATTTGCAGTTGTCCGTGGTGCAAGTGTTTTTCAATTTTTCGCGTGTTATCTTGGAAACATGTAACAGACGATTAACATTTTCTGCATACACTATTGTTGTATTTAGGTTATGTGTTTTAGATAGACTTCATCGAAAATAAATTATACTTTGTCTGAAATTTATATTTTCAGTTGGTAAAGTTTCTTTTGGACGTCAGTTTATATCACAACAGCCTGTAGTGATAATTAGGGCTATCACAGTGATATACAATGTACCTGGGTTATTGCTGACTGTGAAGCAACGTTCGCTCACTAACTCGCCGTTAATCCTCAGTCGTGTGTATCAGTATCACTGCCCAATCTAATTAAAATCAGATCTTAGTTCTCGCTACCGCTAAACAAAGATCTGAGGACATCCCATTACGAGGATGTCAACAGTAATCAATCGAAGCAGTTTTTGATCAATTTTGCTAAGTTGGTTGGTTGTTTTATGCCGCAATCAGAAATATTCCAGCTATATGACGGCGGTTTGTAAATAATCGAGTCAGACAATCCAGTGATTGATATCATGAGCATCGATCCACCCCATTGGGATCGATAACATATGCTTCAACCAAGTCAGCGAGCCAGACCACCCGATCCCGTAGTCGCCTCTTAAGACAAGCATAGCCGCCGTTTACGGCAAGCATGGGTTGCTGAAGACCTATTTTAACCCGGATTATTTTGCGATGTACATGATAAGAGTTGTACTATTACACTTAAACAACTGTTTCATTTTATCCTCACTTGGGTTTTGCCAGTTAATATTCAGTAATATATTTAACTCTATAATTGCGAAACTTTGGACATATTAATAAGAAATGGCCTTTTCCCATTTACAAACCACTTTTTCCCATTACGTAAGATACCTCTTTTACGACAGAAAACATTATTCTATTAGCATAGTCCCACATGTCGTATATGTAGCAGTGCCTTGTGAAAGTTAACTTGATTAAGAAATGAATAATCTTATTTGCCCCCCCTGTCAAAAAAAGTTAACTACGGCCTTGTGTAGGGTCGCCGTCTCCCGCAGCAGCACCCCAATCTCTTCAGATTTGTACAGAGGGCACGGGTGGCCCACTCGTCTAAGGCGCCGCGATTCGCTGTGCAGAGTTGCGCCCCTTTGGCACGCCAGAAACCTATGATTGTGGGTTCGAATCCCGGTTCGCCCCGATTATGTTTCTAGGTTTGTCAGCACCATACCCGTGCTCGTGGGTTTCACCGAAGTGGTAAAGGTCTGAGACCTGCATCACTTTGGGCTTTCCTCCCACATTAAGCTGACACACCGTGATATAACTGGAATACTGTTAAAAGAGGCGTTAAACCCAACTCACTCACTCACTCATTCAGATTTGTACAACTGGTACAGGGGATTGTGAAGTCAGAAGGTGATAAGCTGACCCAGAGAGACTTGGCGCCGTTCCCCCACACAGGAAGAAGGTGTGTAGAGAGTCTAGGGGAGACTGCTGCGTCTGAAGGAGAAGTTGTGCACTGGACAGAAGACTCCTTGAACTTTTGGATGAGGTTGGTCATTTGATAAGGCAGGGTTGAGCAATAATAGTTTGGTTCTCTGTCATTTGTCTAGGGCTGTTCCACTTACACTTAAGTAAACAGTTAACAATTAGCAGCGCACTCAACCTGACCCAGTCCCGGTATATGCCGTCCGTCAATTGGGAGGTTGCCGTGCAAAGTGTTCGAAGCGCTGTAAAGAATGGACGAGTCTGTTGTTATTTTACAAGCGCTTCAAAGATTTCAACTTTATGAGAGTTACCTCCCTTACACCATCTGCAGCACATTTATCAACCGTGAATTAAAAAGTTGACAACAATATGCGTGCAAAGACCAATGTACTTATATGAAATATCAGACGCTCAAAATAACAATGTAAAAGTATTTCATATCATATTTCTTCGTTTTTTCTTTAACGCTGCGCTCAGAAATACAAGTATATATTCCAGCTATATGACGGCGGCTGTAAATAATCGAGTCTGGACCAGACAATCCAGTAATTGACATCATGAGCATCATTCGATGACATGCATTAACCAAGCCAGCGAGCCTGACCACCCGATCCCGTTTGTCGCTTCTTACGACAAGCGTTGTCGCCTTTCACGGCAAGCATGGGTTGCTGAAGATCTATTCTACCCCGGAATCTTCACGGGTCATTTCATATCATGAATCAGAGACGAAAATGCTATATTAGCCCCGGCATGTTCGACAACAGCTGGTGGTTAAACTGGTGGCAAAACTAAGGTCGCATACAAAACGTTTTTTCGGAATGTTCACTTAAGGATTGAAGTTGACGTTCTTCAGTCGTGACGTCATCCGTCACAAACATTTCATTGGGAGTTACGTCCCTTGGTGTACCAAAGCCATACAATGGCGGCAAATGTCATTCACTTGAAATAGAAGTTGCACCCAGTAAAGTTTGCTTTGTTTGTTGTGACAAGTTTTCAAATAATCGTCCAGGTGAAGAATGGGTACGGTGTTCTTCATGCAAGTAGTGGGCTCATGAAGAGTGTACATCAATACAA